TCTCTCTTCATCTCTCTCTTTCTCTTCTCCCCCTCCCGCCTCTCACTCTGTGTTTCTCTTCTCCTTCTCCTGCTGCGTCTCTCTCACTCTCTCTCTGTCCTCCACCTCCTCCGTTCTCTTCTCTGTCTCCTCTGCGTCCGCTCTGCTTTCCTCCTTTTGAATCCGGCGCCCTTTCCTGACGTCAGAGACGCACGCTCGTCCAGGCCCCGCCCCCTGGCTGTTCCCTCTGGGTGGCGCTGTTGCCTCCTGCCGTGGCGCTTCGCTGACTTCTGCGCCGCTCAGCCGGGCCGCAAAGAGGGAACAGCCAGCGTTTCAGCATTACAGAGTCACAGACATTGGGCTACTATATATAGCCGCCCAGAGGGAACAGCCAGCGTTTCAGCATTACAGAGTCACAGACATTGGGCTACTATATATATGATGATGCCCTGGCCCCTGCTGCCTCCCCAGACTTCCCCCATTACCTCTCCTGCCTCTTTCCCCATCTTTGCCCTGAGCTCCCTTCTGTGACCTTGCACCCCAAACCAGCCCTGCTCCTTGCCTCTTGACCATGGCACCTTGGGTGGGTGCACATATCCGCCACCTGTAAAGCTGTCTCTGACCTTAAGCCACATTTGTGTCCTCCTGCTCCTGTGTTGCATAATTTAGACAGCCGTGGAGTCTAAATTACACCAGCCTCTCTGGACTACTCTTTGAGTTGCAGCAGTGCACAGAACTTATCCAGCACTATGTGCTGTGACTTCATCCCACTTGTACCATTCCTGCCCCCAGCCTCAATCCCAGGACACTCTTGGTGCTAGGGCTTGCAAAGGAGTCTTTAGAAGGCTGCCATAACAGATGTCTTTTTCAGTGCCAGCACTGGGGAAATACTCCAATAGCTGGAACTGGGTCTTTTAGAGCAGTGTTTCTCAACCAGTGGTACAAGTACCCTTAGGGCAGTGGTCTCCAACCTTTTTACACCCAAGATCACTTTTTAAGTCTCAGAACAGGTGAAGATCTACCGCCCCGCCCCTTCCTTGAAGCCCCACCTACATTACATGAGGAAATCTAATGTAAATGTACTGCGCAGGTGCGCAGTTCAGAGAGGGCTCAGGAGTTACTCTTAGAGCCCCTGAGATCTACCGGGAGATCGCGATCTACTGGTTGGTGACCACAGCCTTAGGGGTACTCAAGAGAAGTATGGGGGGTACATCAACACAACTGAAATTTGGAGAAAACTGATTTTTTTTATTTAAATTTTTCCGTGCTTTATTATTTTTGTACTTTTTACACCCAAAACTTTCATCACCCACCCAGATATGATTAAATTGTTTAAACAAATGTGTTGCAATGATAGAACAAAATTTGTGTGACTGAAAACTGTAGATACTGGGGATACTTTTTTTTAAAAATAGGGGTACTTTATAAAAAAAAGATTGAGAAACACTGTTTTAGAGCCTATTTACATCAGTCTGAGCAGAAAGGGTCCAAAGCAGGGCTGAGGCTTTTGCCAAGCATGTCTATATATCTTTCTAATCTCCTTGCAATATACCTATTGTGTATATCGATCTTAAAAATACCATAGGGTATGTTGAAGATGTTTTAATCAAAGATGTTTATTGAATCATAGCATATGTCATTTACAACTTAAAACAGTTTTAGCATATCAAGAAATGAGTAGACCTGTATATCAGTTTGTGTACATTAGTGTGGATCCACTGACTTTAATGTTTCAGTGCTGCAAAGTGAACTTGTAAGGGCAGACTGGAGAATTCTGTCCATTGTGTTTTCATTTTCAATGTTGTTAGCTTTATTTATTTAAAAAAAATCTATTTTAGCTACCTGTTCACGCCCTCTGAGCACAATATTTTAGGATTACAACAATGAAGGAAAATGTGAAACTATGTTCTTTTTATATTCTTTTGATGTTAATGATTCTTGAATTTCATTTTCACAGTGTGTTGACAATATAAGATGCAATGGTTTAATGACCATAGTGTTTGAAGAAAACTCTAAAGTCACTGTGCCACATATGATCAAGTGAGTGCAAGTTTTTTTTACATGGGAATAATGAAATATTTTTTAATTATTGAAAGCTTAATATGATGGACAGATTGAAATTTTGGAATATAACAATTTTGTACATTTTTGTTAATCCTACATCCAAGTTATTTACTTGTGCCCATAATATAAGAAGTAGGGAGTACCAAATAAAATTAATGAGTAGCCTGCTTAAAACAAACAAAAGGAAGTATTTCTTCTCATAATGCACAGTCAACCTGTGGAACTTCTCACCAGAGGATTTTGTGAAGGTTTTAATGAGGTTCTAAAAAGAACTAGATAAATTCATGGAGGACAGGTCAATCAATGCTTATTAGCCAGGATAGGTGGGAATGGCATCTCTAGCCTCTATTTGTCAAAGGCTGGGAATGAGTGACAGAAGAGGGATCATTTGATGACTATCTGAGGCACTTGGTGCTGGCCACTGTCGGAAGACACGACACTAGGCTAGAAGGACCTTGATCTAAGCCAGTATTGCTGTTCTCGTGTTCTCTTTTCATCAGGTAATTTTCCTAGAAATGTCACTTTTATTTGTTGGCAGCAATTTTCAGTACTTGATTTCAAACTCATAGCATAGGAATACTTCGGAGTTCCCTTACTGTTCTATGTGTACATTATCGACCTTTATCCAATAGAAATGTTAAGAAATAGAACAGAATATCAGTACCCTTTTGTGACTTTGCCACAAGGTCATTTCTCCTTCTGGACCTACACAGTACCAAGAGATCACTTGGCAGCACCTTAAATAAATGTTGCTCTTCCTTTCTGCACCTTGATGTATTCAAATAAAAGCATGTGAAATTTTCTCTCTGGTACATACCTAGAGGTTAAATCTGATGATTTTTTTTTACTATCTAGAAATAATGGACTTTTCTTATTTTGATTTTGTTAATGATTCTGCAATGCAAACATTACTACTACCTATTAAGCATAGACAGAGTGCACAGCACTTTCTGAAACATAGAGACATATTCCCACTCCCAAAAAAACGCACATTCTCAACAAGCCTGCTAGGGTAGTAATAATATACTTGAGGTCAGCATCATGTTTCAGAGATTTTTTTTTCCCCTTTCTATTTGACTTTGCAAATTTTTTGACATTTAAAAGTGTGTTATTGTTTCAGATGTCTGCACTTGCTAAACCAAACGATTTGTGTGCCACTTCAATAAGGGCATAATTTAACAAAGAAAATTGTGTTCTCCTTCGAGTGGTCCCCGTGGGTGCTCCACTGTGGGTGCTGGTGCATCCTTGCGCCAGTGACCGGAGACTTTTCTAGCCATTTCTGCCTTGCCGCGGCGCCTTCTAGTGTCGTTGGAATTGAAGGGCGCCTGTGTGCGCGGCTCCTCAGTTCCTTCTCTACCGTCCTCGGCAGCAGACGGCGCCCTCTGTTCTCCTTACTTCTCTCTAAAAATAGTAAAATACCTCGTTTTATTCCCTAGTTACCTCATCATCCAAATTTTTAGCCCTATTTGCCTCCCCTGTCTAGTTATTTAAAAAAAAATGTCTTGTTGTGGCTTGCCGCTTTCCCCCAACCCCTCATGCCCGGCTCGCCGGGCTTCAAACTCTGTGAGTCATGTCAAGATGCCATGCCTGCTTCCGACGGGCACTCCAACTGTATTAAGTGCCTTGGGGAGGCGCACCAGACTCAGAAGTGCCTGCACTGCTCCAAACTAACGGCGAGGGCGCACCGAGACCGAGCCAATAGACTAAAGACTCTCTTATACAAGAAGTCCCTACGTCCTTCCTCAGAGGACTCTCGAGCACTGAGGATAGGCCGGGAACCTCCAGCGTGGCACAGCTTAAGACGCTGGCATCGCACAAAAGAGCTCATTCAGAGCCAAGGCAAAAATCAGCGGCACCGACTGCAATGGCCGTCCTCGGCACCAATGGCGCCATCGAAAGAGTGCACAGCACCGAAGCGTGCGAATACGGCACCGTACTCGGCACCGAAAAAGGCCCGTGCCGACAAACCACCTTTGAGTGCTCCAGTGCCGGCACAAGCCTCCTCGGCACCGTCAACCCCCCCGTTGGCGGTGCCGCTACCACTGAAACCGCATCACCCCGCACCATCTCAGAGGCGTGAGCCGTACCGATCCCCGGTGCGGAGCCACACCTCTTCGGCACCGCCGTCCCCAGGTTCCTCTATCCACTTGGTGAGATCTAGGCACTCCTTGGCCGCTTCTCACTCAGTCGGTGACATCGGCACCGAACCAAGGAGTAGGTTCTCATCACAACACTCTAACCCGGCACATAGACCTCCATCCTGGCAGCTGGCTGCATCCATGGTATGCGCAACAGTATGCTTACCCATCCCCGCCATATGCCACTCAATGGCAACCCTGGGAGCCACGTCCAAAGAAGAGTCACCACCGACCCTCTTCTACTATTTCCAGGCCACCTCCTCCCTTGCCTCCTGCCACCGTATCTGCCACTGAGCCAAATTCTCCAGCCCCCTCAGACGCACACGACTCTCTCTCTGAAGGCGAGACCAGATCTCCTCTACAGAATTCCTCCTCATCCCCAGACGAAGTGGTCACTACCGAAGCCCCACCATTGGGAGATGACACAAAAGAATTTCAGGAATTGTTTAAAAGAGTCGCTATAGCTCAGGAAAGAGATCTCCAAGAGGTGCAGGTCAAACAATATCGCCTTCTTCGTACGCTTCAGCCGCCAACCGCCTCTAGAATTGCTATCCCCATGGATGAGGCTATTATGGACTCGGCCGACAATATCTGGCAGACCCCAGCATCCGTCACTCCAACAAATGAGAGCAGACCGTAAATATTTTATCGCTCCAAAAAATACGGACTTCCTTTTTACCCACCTACCTCCGCTCGGTACGTCACAAGGGTAAACAGTCTAATCTAAGAACCACCCCACAGGAGAGAGGCCACAAGAAAGTGGACATTATGGGCCGAAAGGTTTACTCTTCATCCACATTACTCCTCAGGGCTGCAAACTATACTGCCATGCTTGTGGACTATGACCACACTAATTATTCCAAGCTCCAGGATCTCCTCCAACACCTTCCGGAGCATAAACGGTCAACCCTGCTCAATATTATGCAGGAGGGCCACACCATCTCCTGCACAGCCTTACAGTCCACTATGGATGTGGCAGACACCGCAGCTCGAATTATGGCCTCGGCGATAGTGCTCCACAGAATTTCCTGGTTACAAGCATCTGGGGTACCTAGGAAATCTACAACAAAAGGTTGAGGACTTACCCTTTGATCGAACCAACCTTTTCGCAGCTAAGACCGATGAGGTGTTGCATTCTATGAAGGACTCTCGTACTACTCTCAGGATCCTTGGAATGTATACTCCTCCATTCAAGAAAACTAGGTACCAGCCTTACCAACACCCGAGAGAGCCGTTCAGGTAACAACCCAAGTACGATTTCTGCAACCAAAGATCTCAGCGCCGTAGACCACAGCGACAACAACAGCACGTCGCACCCCATCCACCATCGAGCAAGTAGCAGGTTTGAAGGTCAGGTCGAGAGCCAGGAAGCCAATCCACTGACACTTCCAACAGGTACCCTTCAGTTCCACCACCCCCTCCAGGCCTTTTTCCACCAATGGTCCCTCATCACTTCAGAAAAATGGGTCTTGGATCTGATTCAATCTGGTTACATTATCCCCTTTACCTCCCTTCCTCCCAAGCACCCTCCTACCCCGTCCCTCTTCAGAGACCCTTCTCACGAAACCGTCCTCCTGTAGGTTTCACATCTTCTTCAACTGGGCACTGTAGAACACATACCACCACAATTCCGGGGCTGGGGTTTCTACTCAACCTACTTCCTAACCCAGAAGACGATGGGAGGGTGGCGACCCATCTTAGACCTCAGGCGCCTCAACAAATACATCGCATTCCACCGTTTCAAGATGGTCACCTATCAACTATCATTCCTGCGCTAGATCAACATGATTGGCTTTCGGCTCTTGACCTTCAAGACACCTATTTCCACATTACAATTCATCCTGCTCACAGACGCTTCTTACGGTTTACGGTAGGCACCCAACACTACCAATACAGGGTGCTCCCGTTGGCCTGTCCACGGCCCTCAGGGTGTTCTCCAAAATCCTGGCGGTCGTAATGGCCTCTCTTTGACACCAAGGCATCATAATATTCCCGTATTTGGACGATTGCTTCATAAAAGGTGCATCCTTTGACGAGACGAAGGCCATGACAGATACCACAATAGCCCCTCTACTCACTTAAATTACGCAAAATCCACTCTACGCCCAACGCAGAGGCTGGAATTCATAGCTGCCCTCATCGACACAGTCACAGCAAGGGCTACTCTTCCCGAGCACAGGTTTGCAATGATATGTGACCTTATCCGAGCAGTACAAGCTGTGCCGACTGTCACAGTCCGCCTCTGCCTCAAAATCCTCGGGCACATGGCCTCCACGACCTATGTCATCAGCCTGGCCAGATTCCACATGAGACATCTCCAGTCCTTGTTCACGACGGTTTACAGGCCTTCCAGAGACCAACTTTTGAAGTCCATTGCCAGTCCACCACGCCTGATCAACTCTCTGCTCTGGTGGACAATTCCTCAAAACATGCTACACGGCGTTCCTTTCCAACACCCACCTTTCACTCTCACAGTTATAACAGATGCCTCACTCATGGGATGGGGAGCCCACTTAGGACACATCACAGCCCAAGGCAAATGGTCATTTATGGAGCAGACTTTCCATATCAACCTCCTCGAGTTACAGGTGGTCAGATATGCATGCCAGTATTTCGCTCAGTACATAGCTCACAAGTCCATTACCATCATGATGGACAATACCACCTGCATGTACTACATCAACCGTCAGGGTGGCACACAATCCCTTTCCCTGTGTTTGGAAGCTATCAAGCTCTGGAACTGGTGCCTATCACACGGGGTCACCCCTTCGGTTGTTTACCTTCCCGGGATACTCAGCATCACAGCAGACGCTCTAAGCTGTATGTTTATGGACCAGCACGAATGGGAAATCAACAGTCGCATCCTCACTCTGCTCTTCCTTCATTGGGGCCAACTGGAGGACCTCTTCGCCACAAAGAACAACTGAAAATCCCACCTCTACTGCTCCAAACAGTCGCATCCTCACTCTGCTCTTCCTTCATTGGGGCCAACTGGAGGACCTCTTCGCCACAAAGAACAACTGAAAATCCCACCTCTACTGCTCCAGAAGAGCCCTGGGGAAACGTTCCCTCGGTGATGCCTTTTCCATCACATGGGATGCCTCTTTTCTGTATGCCTTTCCCCCCTTCCCGCTCCTGCTCAAAGTCCTCAAAAAGATCAGAACGGATCAGGTGCTAGTCATTCTAGTAGCACCTGCGTGGCCCAGTCAAACGTGGTATCCTTACCTCCTCAGAATGGCGGTGACGGACCCGTATCCCTTTCCTCTCCACCATGACCTCCTCTCGCAGAACCACGGTCAGACTCTTCATCCAGATGTTCTCAAGCGCCATCTCCATGCCTGGCTCCTTCATGGCTTCAGGATGCTGAGACTGCCTGCTCAGAACAAGTGAAGGACATTCTAATTAATAGTAGAAGACGTTCCACCAGGAAAACCTACCTGTACAAATGGACTTGATTCGCTCACTGGTATGCTAAAACCCATGCAAGCCCGCCACACCTCACACCTTTACCTACCTTACTGGACTACTTACTATCCCTAAAACAGTCCAGCCTAGCACTTAGCAGTATCAAGGTCCACGCCGCCGCCATAGTGGCCTTTCACCATTCCATGGATGGCACTTCTTTTCTCGCTGAGCCACTGACTAAATGCTTCTTTAAGGGACTGCAGAATACCTTTCCTCCTGTCCACCCACCAGTCCCCATTTGGGACTTAAACCACGTTCTAAAGAGCCTGACAAAACCGCCATTCAACCCGATATCCACTTGCTCCTGGTCTCATTTGTCTATGAAAGTAGCCTTCCTCATTGCCATTACCTCTAGCAGGAGGGTGAGTGATCTTGCGGCCTTGATGTCCGACCCTCCATACACTGTATTTATGAAGGACAGGGTGATACTCCGACCACACCCTAAATTTCTCCCTAAAGTACCCTCCCCCTTCCACGTGAATGAACCCGTACACTTACCTGCCTTCTTTCTGAAGCCTCATGCTGACCCAATCCAGACTGCATGGCACACTCTTGACGTCTGACGAGCTCTGGCGTTCTACGTTGATCGCACGAAGCCGTGGTGAGCCTCACCTAGACTCTTTATCTCTTATTCTGAAAGATCTAAGGGGCAAGCAGTCTCATTTCAAAGAATTTCTAAATGGATTACATCCTGCATTCGAACTTGTTACACCCTATATGGCAAGCACTTACCTGGAACTATCACAGCTCATTCCACCAGGGCGGTAGCTGCCACGACTGCCTTCCTTTGTAACGTTCCACTGCAAGACATTTGCAACGCTGCTACCTGGTCATCTGACCACTCTTTTGCGCAACACTATGCTCTTTCCTCTTCCATAGCATCCTCCGTGGCAGTGGGACAGGCTGTGTTATCCAAAGTTACTACTACACGGCTCCAAACCCACCTCCGTGAGCCAATAACTGCTGTGTAGTCACCCACAGTGGAGCACCCACGGGGACCACTAGAAGGAGAAGAAGAAGTTACTCACCTTGTGCAGTAATGGTGGTTCTTCGAGATGTGTCCCTGTGGGTGCTCCACTACCCTCCCTCCTTCCCTTGCTTGGAGCCTTATACTCTAGCGGGTAGAGAAGGAATGGAGGAGCTGCGCGTGCAGGCGCCCTTCAATTCCAACGACACTATAGGGCACCACGGCGCATGCATGGCGTGGCGTGGCAGAAATGGCTAGAAAAGTCTCCGGTTGCTGGTGCGAGGACGCACCAGCACCCACAGTGGAGCACCCACGGGGACACATCTCGAAGAACCACCATTACTGCACAAGGTGAGTAACTTCTTCTTTTCCACTTAATATAAGGAAGACACAGGGCGGAATACGTTGGCTGTGGGTCTTAAGAAACCAAAAGTGCTGCAGAAAAGATCAGCCAGTGTTAAAGGAACACTCAGCTTAGTCTACTCCTTCCTCTAGAAAATTGATTTTTTTATAAAAATTGAACAAAAGACAATTTTGCAAAATTTAATGTTACAAAAAGCTTTCAAGATGCAAGATAAAATTTAATTAAAGCATTTTGTAGCTTAAATATTTTCCTATAATGTTAGAAACCCAGAAAATGCAGTGTAGGTGACTTGAATATGTGGTGATGTGTACATTAGAAATTACATACTTACTGAACAGTAAAGAATCTACTCTCTTGAAATTTGTTCTTATAATTTATTGTGTAGATCTGATGCTCGTCTTCATAGAAATGACATTGATATCTGCTTCAGCAAAACATTAAATTCCTGCAAAGTGCCCCAAATTCGTTATGCAACTGTGGAACGTCTCTTGGAGAGATTAACAGACTTGCGCTTTTTAAGTATTGATTTTCTTAATACTTTCCTACACACTTACCGCATATTTACTACTGCAACAGTAGTACTGGAGAAACTCTCAGACATATACAAGAGGCCTTTCACCTCCATTCCAGTAAGGTAAATTCTGTTTCTTCCTCTTCTGTCATGAGATTGTTGTTAAAATGGTCCTTTTTCAATATGTAAATAGTCAGAGGTAAGGGCAGATTGGGGAAATGGAACTTTTTTTGTTGTTATAATGCATGATGCTTTAAATAAATATATTTTAGTTTATGCCCTGGCCTTTGGGAGTAAATAAAATAAATATGTTGTTCACACAGAGCACATTTGTTGATATTTTTCATTTCTGATTGTACTCACTAATATTAGTTTTGCTTTTGTTGTGTCTTATTCATAGGTCTTTGGAATTATTTTTTGCCACCAGTCAAAACAATAGAGAACACCTTGCTGATGGGAAGTCACCACATCTTTGTCGCAAATTCTCATCTCCTCCCCCACTGTCACTATCTAGAACTTCTTCACCTGTCAGAATCAGAAAACTTTCATTGACTAATTCACCACTGAACTCAAGAATAGGGGCTTTAGATCTCTCTACTTCTTCTGTTGCCAGCAGTCCTACCTCAACTTACAGCCCTGCCACATCACCACCACCCACTGCTAGCAAAGTACCACTGGACCTCAGCAAGGGCCCCTCCTCCCCGGAACAAAGTCCTGGATCCATAGAAGAGAATTTAGAGAATCCTCGCATTGATCTGTGTAATAAGCTAAGAAGAAGCATTAGAAGAGGTATTATATAACTGTAGTATACTAAGTATTACATTGCAAATATAGTAGTCACCAATATAAATTCAACATTTAGCACATGACTGAAATCCATTATCTGGGCCATAGTAAATGTTTCCTATGGCTTAGCAAAACAATTGCTTTTTGACCATTGGAAACATTTTTTCAGCAATCAAGTGCTTATATCCTTATTTTTGTTATAGTACATGTTTTGTTTAAATTCCCAGTGCTCTGCTGCTTTTGCATCTGGTTTCACCCATGAGATTAACAGTGTGGCACAATGGAACACACCAATGATAGACCTTCAAAGCACAGGGAGAAGGGTAAACGGGATCGAGGGGAAGGACTTCAATTATTCTATATGTCTAAAGGAACAGAAATTACTTAATGAAACCTCTCCTTATACCTTCTTGAAGTAAATGTTATGTGATGTGATATGACTTGTAAAGTATTCACTTAAAAAGGAGGGGTTCTGAACAATGTAAAGAACTCATCTGTTTAGATCAAGTCTGCTTAATAAGGTTAGCTCTACTTTGAGTGCTTGTGCATGTATATTTGCCATTGCAGATGTAGGCATAAAAATGGGCATGGCCACTGCCTATAATTTCTTTTTACTGCCTCCAGTGAGAGTTGAAGCTTTGCATAGGTCTTGAACTTCTGCTAGCTAGCTTTAAGAAAGACAGTTTCTTTTATTCTATATAGTTATAGTTCATTTTAATGTTAGTTTTAGTAAACTTTGAGAGAGATGGGTTAGAAAAGGTGATACTTTTTATTGGACCAACATTCTGTTAGAGAAAGACAAGCTTTCAATCTGCACAGTTCGTCATGTCTGGCAAAAGAAATCCTAGAATCTGATCTGAGTACAAATCGTGACAGTTAAACATAAAGGGTAACACATGGTGTAGGAGATCACTTGAAATGGAGTGAGCAATACAGGTTAGATCAGTGAGGGCCTACCTAGGCTAATGAGTATGCCACATGAGTGACCTTTCTTGATCTCAGTGGGCTACAAGATTGCCATAACCAATACAATCTTCCTAGAGAGGGTAATTTTGGTAGAATTTGCACGGTGTGCCCATTTAACCGTAGCAGTGCTTTGATTGGATACAGAGGGAGTGCATGGCTTTCACAATGTTGTGTGCAATCAGTACACACCTAACTTTGTGTTTCCTTGCTTTAAGTGAGTGTCACTTTTGTAATACCAGTAGGAAAAAAGCTGTGTGGATGAAAACCAGCAGACTCTGGCAACCCTGTGCATGGGCAATGATAAACAAAATGTCTCATAAGCCAACACAGAACCCTGATGGGCTGCCTGCAGGCTGCCCACCACTGGGTTAAATTTATTACCAAAAGTAGTTTGAAGTGGACCACTAAAGATTAGCAGGCAGGTGAATGTTACAGATGATTTTAATGAGCCAAGACCTCAAGAAATATCTAGATGGAGATGTAAGTCTTCTAGGCATTGCTTATCAGCATCATCCACAGCAGGTTGTCACTGTAGCATCCTGGGTGTCAGGCTGCCGTGTCTCTTCAGGGGCCCTTCAGAAACTCACAAGTCACAAAGCAAGCCAATTACTTAGGCTCCCAATTACTTAGTCCACAGGTTACCTAGTCCCCCCCCCCCCCCTGCAAAGTATTGCATGCATTTGTGTTTTATTTTGCAATCATCACCCCAGTTTGAGTTGGGCACAGCCCCCAACCCCCAGCAGGCTGGAGGGTCTCTCCCAGGCAGTGGGGCTGACAGCCACCATGGGCCCTGGGTCAAGGTGTGTGTGTGGAGCCAGCTTGGGGTGGGGCCTTGGGAGGAAGCCACAGCCAACCCTCAGCATTGCCTGGACTATGGCACTCTTCTCCCCCTCTCCCCCTGATTTAGAGCTACATGGAGCGGCATTCTGGCTGAAGTTCAAAGGGACATGGGATTCCAGCCACTGCTAATGTGGCAGGGGGCAGCAGCAGTGGCTGGAGCCCTGATCCCCTTTGAATCACAGGCCTTGGGGAAACTGCTCCTTCCTCCCTCCCCCCACCCCACTCCGCTCCCCCTGCCAGCTCCCAGGTAGGGTGACTAGATATCCCAGTTGGATAGGGACAGTCACAATATTTGGGACTTTATTTTATATAGGCACCTACTATTCCACACACCTGATTTTTCACACTCTCTCTCTAGTCACTCTACTCTCAGGCAATGTCCCCTTTTATTTTTTCCATCCATGTGCAGGATAAATTTTGTTATGTGCACTGAAGCATGTGTGGACGTGCCACCACAAGTAGAAACACATGTTTTTCAACTGTGGGTGCTCTGCTAATCAGCTGGGCAGCATTTGAATATCTCCTGGGTGGCCACTCAAGTGCTCAGATTACAGGGAACACTGCTCTCAGGCCTTCCCTGTCTGGAGGGCTTTCTACTGCATCATGTACTTTTCCCCATCTGACTCAGGGCCCTGCAGGAGTCATCTTGTCCCCTGTATCTGCAGACTTAGCTGCAGTTCCCATCTTTTGGCCTCTTCTCTGCTGCTTGCTTTCTGCTCTTTTTATCTTGGGATCACTTGATTCAACTCAGATGTGTTTCATTCTGTACTGATGGCTGGCTTCGCTTCAAGCTATCCAGCCCATGAGGCAAATCACCCCATTACAGAGGAATTCCCCAGCCCATAGGTTCTGAGAGTGCTATAAAGGCAACATATTAACATATAGAAATGGAGAAACTATCACATAACATTAAATTGCTGTTTTTGCAGTTCTTGCAACACCTACAGATTTGGGAGTTAAACAACTGAATGACTTGCACATGTAGATTTTGGAGGAAACTGTATCTAGCACTCTTTTCTCACCTGAGAGTCACTTTGTCATAGTTCAGTATGGTGTAAGGCAGTGTTTCTCAAACTGTGCTCTGCGGAGCCCCAGGGCTCTGAGAGGCATCTCCAGGGGCTCTGCGAGGTTGTCAAACTGGAAACATTGATAGGTACAGCACATACAATCAGTGGACCGCTGGGGCTCCGCATAAATTTTTACACAAGTAAAGGGCTCCGGAGCCCCAAAAGTTTGAAAACCGCTAGTGTAAGGAAAAAGGATCAACTTAAAAAAACACCCTTGGTATGATGACAATGGCAGGAATACAGAGTTCTAACCTGTTATTTCCTTAAAGTAAGTTTTCAGGGTAAAAAGGAGTCCGTTAACACAGTTAACTGGGATCAAGTGGCTTCATTACTCATCTTCTACTAAGATCCCAAAAAGTAGACTTAATCTAAATCCAATTTGGCTGAACAAATTCAATTTCTAAGTCAATGCTGGGTTTTTTTTATATATTTTTGAATATGGCCCATTTGTCATGTAAAAAGAAATGTTCTCCACTTTCCAAATGCTTATTCTGCAAATCTGCCTAGTGGTGGAGACAATTTCACTTAAGCACTGTACTGTAAGTTTTAGTGTTGTAACAGTAGCAGGTTTTCAAGTCTAATGTAGAATGCAATAGAGAAATGTGTGTGTTATTTTTTAGTTTTAATTTGGGCACATGTCCTTCTGCCAGCTTACTATTATGGACATTAATTTACTCAATGGAATAATGAGCTCTGCAGTGCTGTTCAGTTCTGATTTAGCAGGCAGTTTTGTGATAAAATCATTAGTGATTTTCTCAGGAGATGTGAATTCTATAATATAAACTATCCATATCATATTTTTGTTCCCCAGATAGTGTGCTAAGGAGATGCAAAAGCATGATAGGGCTATTTTTAAAAACATTTTAGCACTTGAGGGTTTTCATTAAGTTTTTATTGATGGGCTTTGTTGCAGTTATGTCATTGGTACCTGTGAAGTTGCCTGATATTTTCCCTGTCCTTTATCTCTATCCAGAGGAATATTGTTGCTGAACTTTGTGAAAGAAGTAGCACTGTCAGTTTACCAAAAAGTATCGTAAAGCAAAACAAAAAATATTTGGATAATGTACTTTTTATTTAATGGACCTAATCTTAATACCATCATTGAAACAACATTTATGGTGACTTCACAGAAAGAAGCATCAGGCTCTACCTGCATATTATAATAATTATGTTATATCTTTATACATTTGATCCATTATAACCTTGCTATCCTCTGTGTTTTTCTTAAACTGCAAGTGAGTGCCAAGACATTAACTTCTTCTGTATTTCTTAGGGATCCACATTCCAGCTATCTCTCAGAAATCAGCCACTTTCTATAAAAACTGTACACTTAGAAAAGACCCTTTTTGACTGCAAAATTGAGGGAAATAGCTTCATATCTTAAAATTGTTTCAATGTTTAGGTCTCTTGATAATTGAAAACAATGTTTGCACATTTAATGGGCTTTAAATTATGAAAATAATGGCAACCCCAATCCTAACAGAGAGGGCTCTGTACTAATATTCATGCTGTTTTAAAGCAGCAGTTCTAGAGTCTGTATCAGTGGATAGGACAATTCCTGAAAGTACCTCGACAGTTGAGACACCTGAGTTTTCCCCTTGTCGATCTCCCTCAACTCCACGACATCTCCGCTACCGTCAGGCTGGAGGTAAGAAACGTTGCTTTGGAAGGAAACTGTTATGTATTTCCAATTCTTTTTTAATCTCCTGCAAAGATTATTTTCTTAATAATGTGGTTCATTTGTGTTTCTGCTCATTTCTCAGATGTAAAAAAGCCAGCAAAATGTGAGTAACAGTACTCTAGTTAACTGGCATATTAATAACAAGAGACTGTACAGCTTTCTGGGAGCTAAGAAGTGCTGAAGTGATCTATAATATCTGGAACAGGCTATATCTTAGTACAGGAATAATACTGATTCAGTCCTATTCTTATATGAATTCTAAAGACTTTGACAGTTTTTAGGAGCTATTATGGGGGTACATTTTGGGTACCATATGTGATGATTAGATGCCTATCTCCCATTATTGTTAATGGGAAATGACTGTCTGTTCCTCCATGTGTGGCACTGAACATCTACAGATGGTCTCAGATTACTCATTCCAGTATGTGAGTAAATTGCTCAACTGAAGATGAAAGGCAAGAAGAGGTGGATCATCTAATAGCTCTCACATGGCTCTTTTGAATTGTTAACAGAACTACTTGCTGTGTCCATAAGTATTTAGAATGTTGCTCTTTCTTGAAATCTAGATTGTAAGACAACTATTTCCTGTTTGTTATGACCTCCCACCTCAATCCAATCCACCCCATAACCACTAATAATGTATGAAAACATTTTATAGTAATTTTAAGCCAACGCTAAACATTATTTACTGGCATAGTTTATGGTTGTGTGTCTCATTTTTTGGTTTGAAAACTCTGGAAATACAAAGCAAAACCATTTGAATGGAAATAGAGGAGATGATCAAAAAACTTCATGCAAAGTGATACCAATAAATTTTTGCAAAGCTCTGCTAATTTTAGTTAACCAGGAAAGAATCTTGTATCTTGTTCAAAATATACCCATCTAGAATTGACACCATTCCAGAGTTCAGTTTTGGGGGTGTCACCCACATTAGCAGTCTCATCACTTGTTTATTCCTTTAATATCAATTTTTACTTTGCTTGGGCTGGCTGTTAAAAATTATGTGATTAGGAAGTAAATTAACCATACCCATTATTACTTTGGCACCATTTTTTAAGCTGTTCAATCATAACTTTCATTTGGTTTGATTAATTTTTTTATTCACATTGGCATCATTTTACACTTCGATAAACAGCATTATTTATTGTTGTGATCTGGTGATAAAATTAAATGACAAATATATTTTTTATATTTTTGTATCTATTACAGAATTTCTTTTCAGTGAGAACATATAAAATATGCACATAAGTAGGCATATTTATGTAAAGTATTGTATATTCAGTATTTACTTGGTGTGCTGGAGTATTGGACAATATGAACATTGATATACTTTTGAGTTGTTGACCTTTATTTGTCTGTTTCCTTACAGCACAGACTGCAGATAACTGCCACTGTTCTGTTTCTCCTGCTTCTGCCTTTGCTATTGCTACAGCTGCAGCAGGGCATGGGAGTCCACCAGGTGAGAATAATTTAGTGCAAGAAAAACATAGCTAGGTCTCAACAGGTAAAGCTGTCCTACAGGCATGTTCACTCCAATTTTAAGTACGGTAGTTACTGGTTTGTTCCTTTTATTCCCCGGGTACAGGCAGTCCCCGGGTTACGTACAAGATAGGGACTATAGGTTTGTACTTAAGTTGAATTTGTACTTAAGTCGGAACTGGCGTCCAGATTCAGCTGCTCCTGAAACTGACCAGCGGCTGACTACAGGAAGCCCAAGGCAGAGTTTCTCTGCCCCGGGCTTCCTGGAATCAGCCGCTGATCAGTTTCAACAGCAGCTGAATCTGGACGCCTGGGACAGAGCAGCTGGGGCGCTGCCGGGTAGGTCTCCGCAGTGCCGCACCTCAGCGCTGCGGGGACCAATCCGGCAGCACCCCAGGTGCTCTACCCCAGGCGTCCTGATTCAGCTGCTGCTGAATCTGATCAGCAACTGCTGAATCAGGACTCCTGGGGCAGAGCAGCTGGGGTGCTG